TCAGAGCTGCCTACTCATCCCCTACCCCCACGCCTGCTGGACGCACCGCACACACCGCACGCAGCAGTGTGCGGTGTCCGTGAACACCCCTCTGGTAACATGATAGCGCAACCGACCTCAGATCGTGATATGACGTTTACCCAGCTTGGTCTGCGTAGTCTGGTTTCAACTGACATTCTGGCGCGCATTAGATTACTTACCTTTGAATACGCGGGTTAGATAAACGTTTCCCTGTGAAATTTCATTTCAACTCAAGCCAAGAGTATGTGTGCTCGAGCTGTCCTTATTTATCGAATGTTTCGCTCACGCCGTCTCTATCTATGCCCTCCAGGTTCGTGGCGACGTCTCGCGGGGTGCTGGTGGTGTACCCGGGCCTCCCCCTGGACACCTGGTACGAACCCACCCGCCGCAGCTGGTACCTGCGCGCGCTGGAGCACCCTGGACGAGTGGTGCTCTCGTCACCCTACCTGGATGCGGTAAGTGTGGCCAGTTAGCCGGCCGGGCCCCACCTGGCTCCCAATGTCTGCATATGCACGGGACTGATCCATGAACACAATGCGTCTGTGCTAAGTTTTCTATCCCCGCGTATTTTGGCCACTCCCGACGCATACGGCTATCCCGCCGGAGCTCCGTTCATGTGTCGTCGTTGGCGACTGGTGGTGACGTGATTCTCTGTACTGGACAGGGCGGAGCCGGCTACATCGTCACCCTGAGCCAGACCATCAGCACTGCGGGCGGCACCGTGGCCGCCGTCATGGGCATGGACATGACGATCGGATACTTCTACCAGGTGAGCGAGTTTGATTGAGCAGGGCTGGCAGTGGTGGTAACTGTAGGGATGTGAATGCAAGATATCCCAGATATGATATCTCTAAATGGTGACTACTGATGCTGCAGGCCCGGTTGGTTGCAGCAGTAAACAGCTGTCAGTGTCCTGTTTTCGTGTCTATGGGTCATGTTGTTTCCAACAGCAGCCGCGGTACTTCCCGTGACATACGAGTATTTGCCCGTCCGCTCTTATCGGAACCCAGTCTTGTTTCTGTCGCTGCCGTCCTTACTGACTCGCGGCGTCCGTTCCACAGCTGCTGGTGTCGGTCCTGGGCGGCCGGTGTCAGACCCCGGAGGTGACCTGTTTCCTGCTGGATGACCGCGGCTACATGATCTCCCACCCGGAGCACGTGTCGCCGTGGCGTGAGGGGCCCGTCGAGCAGCAGCACGTGTCCAGCAAGGAGCCCCTGCTGGCCAACCACATCCTCAGCCAGCAGCAGTTCGTATCCAAGAAACAGTGCAACAGGTGAGTGCTTACGACCGCCCATTTGACTCTTCGGTGGGGTCGGCTGTGGGCTGTGGTCTCCGTCCTCCGCATAATCTGTTCCGTCATTTGTGTTCTTCGTCGACTCCTGCCGGGGCTGTCTTCTTATCGTTTTACTGTCCGTCTCCTCTCCCATCCTATTTTTGTACCGTTTTTGTACGTGTTTGTGCTTTCTACCAGACCGCTATGCTATCTGCCCCCTTTCCTCTTCGTGGTCGTTCTGGCTAAACAGTGTATCTGTGCTGTTTGTACGGTTTGCAGTTTGCAGCACTCGTTTCTAACCGTCCCGTCTCTCCTCGTTTTCAGCTACACGGACAACACAGTGCAGCGTTACTACCAGTTCAACACGTCGATGCCTGACGTGGTGACCAACGTGGGCGCCGTTGGCGACTACTGTAAACAGTACCAGATCGTGGCAGTGCCCGGCACCAACGTGTTTGTCGGCGTGGTCAACCAGACGTGCGATAACCCGGCGTTCTGCGCCTGCAGTCGGGTACGTCGACCGAGTTCCCAGTGGGATGAACATATGCTAGTCCATGTATTATACATGAGTCCGAGTTGGCTTGCCGCTGCTTCTTGAAGCCATGTAGTCAAGGATGTTGGGCGTTATTTATTCATGGATTTCTAGGCTTGAATCTGGCGATACCATTAAAACCTTCGTTGTGGGAAGGCCTCAGCTTGTCTACCTGGGCTCAGTTTTGAAAGACTTTGCTGACTTTTCTATGCCTTTTGTATGCTGTTTAGGATGTAATAACAGGATATACTAACCACTTTGTGTGCCCGTTGCTCAGGACGACCGCGGCTGCCTGAACTGTGAGCGCATGGAGGCCTGGGAGTGCGAGTGTCCGTGTGAGTGCCGACTGCGCACGGACCTCTGCACGGAGGAGGTGCTCGACCAGCACGACACGTGCGGGGCAGTGCCGGAGACGGTGTACGGGCCGCGGGTGGACAGGGACGTCTCCCACCTGGCTGACTGCGTGCCCGTCACCTGCCAGACGCGGCAGAATGCCAGGTGAGAATGGATGGGAGGTGAAACAGAACGCCAGGTGAGAATGGTTGTCAAACGAGACAGAACGCCACGACTGAGACTCGGTGCCAGACCAGGCAGAACGCCAGGTGAAACTCGGTGCCAGACGAGACTGAACGCCAGGTGAGAATGGATGATAATTGGGTGACACTGGGTATCAGATGAGACCGGCTGGGTGTTGGCTGACATGTCCAGAGGATAATGGGTATCGGAGGAAACATGGCTGGTTGAGACTGTTGTTAGATAATGCCTGTTTGAGTGAGGCTGAACGTCAAATGACGCCAGACTGACTGAGGTTGGGTTGGCGAGACCAGGCTATAAGACCAAGAGAGACTAGGAAGTAGGCAGATAATGGAGATTGTGAATTTCGTGTATCCATCGTCCGTCACATGGAAGGAATTTCTGGTGATATTGTATCCTAGTATTTTTTTATGCTTAAAAAACTTCATCTTGGCCACCATGTCGTGTGACTTGCACGCCTTGTGGACACTAGCCAGTAACCGCCCCTCCCTCCCCCTCCCCATCAGTGAGTGTGTGGGCGTGCTGGGCTGCGAGTGGTGTCAGCTGGAGGCCGACGGGCGCACGCCCCTCTCTCGGCCCTTCTGCACCGACATGGAGCGCTGTTTCCGCGGCGTGCTCGGTGCCGCCTCGCCGTACGGAGACCGCGGACCGGGTGTGCGCGCTGGCGGTATCCTGCCGGCCACCAGCTCGCCGGTCGGCCCGGTGGCCGGCGGCATCATCGGCGCGTTCGTGTCGCTGGCGCTGGCGGTGCTGTGCTACCGGCACCGCGCCGCCGGCCGCTACCGGCAGGCCGTGCCGCTGGCGCTCGAGGAGGAGGAGGACGAGGTGGCGGAGCTGGAGCTGGAGCCGCCGCCGCCGGCCGCCGTCAACCGACTCGCGCTGGCACCCGCCGCCGCTGTCTCCCCGTACCGCCTGAACCCGGGCTACCGGCGGCCGGCGGCCGGCACGGAGTCCGACCACGGCTACTCCACCATGACTCCGCACGACGACTCGGAGGCCGCCGGCGAGCCGGACCCGGTGCGCGCCGCCTCGCCCGCCTCCTCAATGCTGTCGTCGCCGCCGCCGTCTGCGCCGGTGCCGCTGCCCGACCAGACGGCGCTGCGGCCGCACCAGATCCGCGCCGAGGCGCTGGTCCACGCCGTGGACGCCGTGTGACGCCGCGGCCGGCTCGTCCGCGCCGTGCCGCGTCTGCCTTCGCTGTGCCATTTACTAGCCGGTCGGAGATTGCTGCCGCTCGCCGCTAGCCTCTGCGACTGATACCGAGCCGCTGTGCCGTCGTGTTCTAGCCTGGCTTTGTGCGGGAGTGCCACTCCGCGCCGGGCCACTTGAGTCGCCGGGAAGCCGCGTTTTTGCGGTGTTTTGCTGATTTACTCTCGTGTCTTGTGTTCAGCTGGGCCGACCAGGGAGTCGGCCTCTGCCACTGTTCTGCGTTTGTGTGTGTGTGTGTGTTGTTGACAGATCATGAGATATCTCCGCAGCGACTGGCGAGCGAGAGATCTGTAGAGGTAATTATGGCGTCTCGCGGATACTCCGAGCGCCAGAACGAGCTTCCAGCGTCGCTGTCTGAGAACACGGTGGACGGCTTCCACCGCTGTCTGTGGAAGCGGTGGACGGCTTCCACCGCTGTCTGTGGACGCGGTGGACGGCTTCCACCGCTGTCTGTGGAAGCGGTGGACGGCTTCCACCGCTGTCTGTGGACGCGGTGGACGGCCTTCCACGCGGTGGACGCCGTTGCGATCGCGGGTGGTGCCAAATGTACAAGTCGTGGCCTTATCCCCACACCGCTGCTATTACTGTGAATAATTGTGAAGCTAGTGTGCCTGCAAGTGTTCATGCTTTTTAAGGCGTAATGCATTTTACGTGCATTAGTTTTTTCACGGCAGCATGCGGCGTGATATGGGCATATTTTTAGTCCTTGTTTTCGAACTATCTTTGTACATATTGTGCGACTGTGCGCGTTTTGTATTAGCGGAACCTGCGGATCACCAGGCGCTGTGTGCTGACTGCTCGCTCGCTAATCAGCCCTGCTACCCATATATTTTGTGATTTGAGAAGACAATCGTTATCACGCTGATCGCGAATCGATACGTTTTTGAGGCGGCTCGCGGAGTCTGTTTAATCTATCGAGTGGCTGGTGCCAGCCTATTGACCTTGTGCGCCGTGCTGGTGAGGACCTGTGACCGTGGCGGCTCGCTGAGCTTTGGCTGCGACTGACAAAGCTGCGACGTTTAGTGGTGCCTGGCCGGTGTTCGACTTGTCAGTCAGCCTCCCGAGAGGCAGCGGCTGAACGGACGGCCGCGTACAGACCAACGCTTTTTCTTGTACAGAAGCTGCAGAAACGAAATGAAGCGTGACGTTCTGACACTGGCGTTTTCAGACTGAGAGTGAGAGAAAGAGAGGGAGAGACCTCGGAACTGAAATTTATTAAATGCGTTGATATGGATGTCCGCATCGGTCCTGACTTTGGTCCTGGAACCACCAACCGTGAACACTTATGTTAGGCCCGGGGCTGGTATATGGCGGACGTGGTATAAAACTAAAAAGAAAAGCTAGGAAGCAGTCGAGACGAAGTGCCTTTCGTGAGCCAGCATCAATGGAGTACATCCTTCACCTACTAACTAATAATTATGAGGTAAAAGTGATCAAAGACAAATAATATGACATTTTATTAAAACGTCTCACCACAAACACTGCAAAAAATACGTATATGCGCAAAATATCGCCTTTCAGAAAGAACGATGCACCACTGCCAACTAGGGCAGCCGATCAAGAGGTGAAAACCCCCGGCTTATGGCTTTCGACTTCCACCTGCTTTCTGTGATTGCACAACGTAAGAAGTGTGGGCTTATCGTCGCATAACACAGCTGGACTGACCTTATCACCGATAACTTAGTCACCGTGGTTGATTCCATCAGTATCTCAAGACCCAAGAGCATCATAAAAGACCAGACCCGTCCGTCGTTTCCATCCTCAGGATGCTGAAATCCTTCACTTCGCAACTCCCACTCCGGGCTGGACATGCACCTTTATCTCATGCGGGCTGCTCCCTTGGAGCGGCACCGCTGCTCACGAGGGAGCAAACCCGTAGCTGGGTGCAGTGAGTACCTTGGGGCTGGTTGGCCTGTCCTTCGGGACGGGCTCATCCCCGGTGACTCACTAGTCACTAGGGTGCCTGCCCAGACCAATGTCTCCCCCTAATTCCTATCATCCTCCCGGCTCGGAAATGGTCTCATTGGACCGAAAGGGCCTAACCCAACAAAATAAACAAAACAAGCATAAAATACATCGAAATGAACACGGAATCGACCTTAGATGGCTCAGAAGATGTCGACATTGGGGGGGGGAAGATTTTTGGGACCATTTGTTGCATAAAATCTTCATTTCCAGTGGAACTGCGCAAACAATTATTGGTTTGGTAACCGTTTCCCTGCGACTCGTCAAATCAAACATCAAAGGCGGAAATGAGCATCGACCATGGCGAGACATGCCTATTAGTTAATAATATTCTTTTCAGAGTTCCATGAGTATACATTACAATACATTCTTAGACTTTCCTATCCCGAGCACTTGAAAGGTCTAGCTTTTACCGACGGCTGCTGACAGCTTTTCGCGTGCCACCATGATGGCTATCAGCGTTGCTGTCCGGCTGCTCTTCACAGAAGCAGAGGGTGACCACGTCTGCCTCCCCGCGGCTGTCACACCTTCCCCGCCTTGCCCTCGGCTTTGCTCTTCTGCGTCTGATGCTCGTCTGCGTCCCCCTCGCCGTACTTCTTATCCATGCCCGTGAGCAATGTGAGCAGCACCAGCAGTCCACCGAACAGCATCAGGCTGCCCATGGCGAAAAACTGGCTGCCGTGGTCTCCAGTGCCGTCCACCAGGGCGCCTGAAGAAAAAAGGTAAACACAGCTTAGCAAGAAAGTGCATACGTGCCACGCATGTACTTTTGGCACACACCGCACAGTACACACACAATGATACAAGCCTACTTCAATATTTGTACCTCACAGCATCGTCACATCACCATGACCCAAGGCCCACGACCTTATCCAATGAAATCAAATGGCATAGAACGCGATGTAGGATAAAAGAACAGATAACGTGATGAACGGGTGAGGCCTGCTTCGGGCCCTCCCTCATTTTCCCGTACAAACCTGTTCATAAAATAACGCCACTGCCTCTTCACCGTCAGTGTCGCTCATCGTCTCTCACCGACCTACTCTCACTGCCTCTCAGTTCTCACCGTTACACCTCACTGTTTCGCACCGAATATGGGCGGCATGATGAGCGAGGAGAGTCCGTGGAACATCCTGACCAGGCCGTAGGAGGCGGCCACCCGTTCTATGCCGTGGTTGTCGGCCAGCACGGGCGCCAGGTTGATGAACCAGGTACCCATGCCGACGGCGAACACCAGACATAGGCCCGTGATTACCGAGTACTGGTGGGAGAGCGGCATCGCCAGCACCATACTGCCGCTCAGCAGCTGACTGAAAAACGACATCACAGCCTCGTGTTATTGCTGCATGGCTGTATAGTACTGGCTATCGATGCGAGGTCAAGTTATTTTTTCCCGCACACTATCGTAAAACATAAAATAGAATGTGAAAAGGGTTTTGTTCGAAGCATTACTTGATTGAGAAAGACATTCCTATCCGTCTCCGCCATTTGCGGACACTGAACAGCTCATGGATTATTGCTAAGGCGCGCCCAAGCTCGTCTTTTCCGTCTAAAATGCATACCTACCGAACGCGCCTGATGAAAAGCAAAAGGCCTGGGGAATCATACCTGGCAGCAAGGGCGTACTGCCGTCGGAAGTAGTTCTGGTCGAGCACCCAGCCGAAGCTGAGCCGCGTGACCAGGTCGAGAGCTGAGGCGATCATCAGCATGTGTGCCGTCTGATCAGTGCTGATGCCGCGCGACACGCCGAACGCCGGCAGCTGCAGCAGCGCGTACGGCGTGCCGGAGGCCATCAGGAACACGGCGGCCGCCTCCATCAGAAACAGCGGGTTGGCCAGCAGCTTCAGGTCCAGCAGCCGGCGGAGGCTGGCCAGCGGGCCCGGTGCGCCCTTCCGCTGGCGCTCTTCGTCCTCCAGTTGTGTGGTGGCGTCCACGGTGACATCCGCCACGCTCAGCATCAGTGAGGAGGTGCGCAGTCGCCGGGGCACCTCGGCCGGGCCGCGCGCACCGGCCACCTCCAGCAGCCGCGGCCGGCTGACGGCGATCGTCCCGCGCCGCAGCGTGCCCACCGCCGGAGAGCGCTGAGACGAGCGCCGCCGCTCGCTCCACAGACTCTCACTGACGGTACGGGTCCGGCGGCCGAACGGCGACGCCGCCGGGAACCGGAACTCTCCACTAGCTGAGGCCGAGTCCGGCGAGCAGCTTCCGGTGCCTCTGGCTACCGAGCCCTTCTCCCTCTCTACCAGCGGCGTGCTCTCCGCCCCCTGCACAGGGCCCTGCGCAGGATCGCCATCGCTCTCACGGATCTGATTCGGCCGGCGCTGGCGCAGAATCCGCTCGTGAAGAGCTATCGGTCTGAAGAGCGCGGCGCCGACCACCACGTGGAGGCAGAGTGCGCCGGTGATGAGCAGAGTTCCGCGCACCCCGTACTCTGCCAGCAGGTGCTGCAGCAGCGGTGGCAGCGCGAACCCGCCGGCTGCGTTACCGGCCAGCACCAGGCCGTTGATGAGGGAGCGCCGCCGGGGGAAGTAGCGCGTCGCTATCAGGATGGCGGATGTTGAAACACAGCCGCTGCCGACACCTGTGAAACGAGGGAGATGTTTGTTAAGGGATAAGGGGGCATCGACAGGGGGTCAGGGCGCCCACATCGAGGAACTGCTGGATGATGAGTAACGGTGCACGCCAGGAGTTGCACGCTTCGGGAACGTCGCTGCGATTGATGACGGGTCAATGGTCAGATTTATAATCGGCAATGTTACTTCAACATGAAAACAGGCTCGTAAAATGCAATCAAACATCACATTCGCAACATCGCAATGGTACTGTGATGTTTGCCTAATGCTCGATGGCCGTTCAAATGAACCATCCGGTCAGATCTGAGTAAAACGTACGGTACGTTAACCCAAGGCTAGCCTCCTAAGAGAACTGAGCAGACTGCTGAGCAATTCAACGTTTTGGGAATGACAGTGAAGCCAACAGGGTCGCACCACTCACCAGCCCGTGGCTTTGTCGAGCTCGCCGCTCACCTACAAGCAGTCCGATGGTCAGGGCGAACTGGGTTACTGAGGTGGCCAGAGAGCTGAGTGAGAAGCCCAGGAAGCAGAGAAGACCACCAAAGATGGCCACGCGACGACAGGTGTACTTCTGGCACAGGGCGCCCACTACTGGCGCTGGAGGTCAGAAGGCACCGTCAGCGAACACAGACAAAGCCGGCAGAGAACATTGCAGATTGCAATATATACTGACACAGGGCACAAGCCATCGGCGTTGAGGAAAAGACGGCGTCCTCATCCTCACACGAATCAACGACGACCTCTAAAATATGACCAAACACTTTTAGCTAAAAGCTCCTAGACAATGACTAATAAGGAAAAATGGCTCAATTCATATTTGTATCAGCACTGGGGTCAAGTACCATGAAACATTATCCCAGATCGATTAATTTTACCCTTTATCTTGTGCTCTAGGATGGGGTTACGTACAGAGCAGCAGTCCGGCGGTGAGCATGATGCCGGTGACCACTCCCATCTCGGCAGCGGTGACGTTAAACGCCAGCTGAATCTGGATGCTGATCAGTCCGAACGACTTGATGGTCCCTGCCACACAGAGGTTGGCGAGGAAGGCGCCGAACGCCACCAGCCAGCCGTAGCCGCCGTCCAGCTGCACTGCTCCATCAGACACCGGCGGCGGCGCGTCGGCACCGCGCAGCTCATCACCTAACGAGCTGGCGAACACCACCGACCCGGCCACCGAGCTGGCCTCCCCGGTACTGGTCTGCCGCGCCCGCCGGATGTCGAGGCGCAGCGGAGCCGACGGCGGGAGGCTGCCGATCGTCGACTGGTGCTCGTCGCTCGAGTCGACCGTCGGGCTCAGCTCCTCTCCTGCGGCGCTGCCGGGCCGGCTGCGCGGCGCGGAGCTGAGGTCTGTGGACACCATGGTCACCCAGGGAGGACGGAGGTGTGCGCCCGCGGCCACTCGCGGTGCCACTGGCGTGATCGGCCGCCGCTATCTGGTGACCGCCGGCCGGCCGGTCCGTATCGGGTCAGAGTTCAGCAGGTCCCAGTCGGAGTCGACGACCCGACAGCCATGGTCCGACCTCACAGTGGTGCGGCCTACCAGACAGCAGTCCTGCCATACTAGATATCCGACGATTCACCAGAGGCGTATGGTCCAACCCACAAGTCTGCCATTCGCGACTCAGGCTCTACTCTGGGATCATGTCAGGTTAATGAGAACTTGTTTAGAGGCTGATATCGTTTATATTTTTTGACAGGGTCTCACCTTGATACAACACCCACGATCATAAGGCTGATCATATCGCCATCGGTGACGTCATCTCGGAAATCCCCCCCCCCGGGGTTCATGCAGTCAGTGTGACGTCAGCCGCCTCCAGCTCTCCTAGCTCAGTTGCTATGTCGCCAGTTGTCTCAGTTGGGTTGCTAGGAGACGGTCAGCCACCAGTATCTCCTCATGTCGTGATCAGGTACTCGATATAGGTCCGTTGAGTGGTCAGCTGACTGCAGAGCTGCCTGTATTCGGTAAGTACTGATAGCGCGTAACTGTTACAGGAAGATTGCATAAGTGGCCTTGACGGTAATCTGGTGTCATATACATTTGCAACTTACATTTCATTACATAACAGACGAGCTTTTCCATAAAATAATATTTAACGAAATATACGCTGAGAGAAAGCTCGTTACGAAGCGTAAGCCAATGCAGCTACTAGAGCATGTTCAACGCATTCATAAGGCCTAATTTGCTTGCGAAATGCGTGTTGATGTACAGAAATGCGTGCCCATCCCATCTAAACTAAAAATAATTGCTTCAGTCCTCAAAAGTAGCTTCGAAGAGAGACTCCTACCAGTTCCATAGACCATATCGCCCAAATTTTAGCTCCTTTTGATTGGTAAGTGCACATTATACTATCTAATAATGATGGAAATAAGAATTCAACCCTTTCTCCCAGGGTACTCTCCCCCCCCCCCCCCCCCAGTTCATCTAACTTGTTAACCACCGTCCTCCTCCCCCCCCCCCAACCAGTCACTAACCAGGTCGAGATTAATTGATGTTTATTCCACGGGCGATATACAGGTGCCGGTACGAGGCGATCGACGCTCCCTCGCGGCAGTTGCAGACGAGAGGCGCCGGCGCGGTGTCACCGGCGGTGGCGGGTACAGTCGACCACCGGCCGCGCTCGGCAGCGCGAATCCATGGAAGTAATGTATGACGGAGGCGGGAAGGCCGGCGGCAGGTCGGCAGGGGCGGCACCCCTCTCCGACGACCCCGGAAACGCGGCGCCCACCGGGATTATACTGCAAGCGCAACGGAGAGTAGCAACATCTAGCACTTCAAATGCACACGATCGCACGTCGAGTCTCATCAGGTGATCCGCGGGCGGCCGGCGGCGAGCGCCCGCTGGCACGCGGGCTCGTACTCCATCCGCCGGCCGGCGCCGGACGATCCCTTGTGCCGCTCAGCGCTTGTAGCGCGTCCCCGCCGCTCCAGCGCGGCTCAACAGCAGCGGCGGCGCGGGCCGGCCCGTCCATCTTTGGTGGCGATTCGCCCCCGGTCGGTGGCAGCAGCTCCCACTGCCAGGTCACAGTTCGTTCAGAGACAGAGAGACGGAGGTGTGGAGATAGAGATCCCCAGCTGGCGAACAGCCGCTCCCTCCCTCTCTAACTCACTCGTACGCTGTCAGCACACCGCTAGAATAGACAACACTTGCTCTTTTTGCTTTTGGGCTTCTTCTTTTCCGGCGACTTGCGGTTGATTTGCCGCACGAGGTCGTAGAAGATCTGGCGGCACACAGAAGCTCTAGTAAGATCGGTGTGGATATGGTATGGGCACACTGAAGACACTGGGTACTCGCTACATCGAGTGGTTGGAAGAGGCAAATCAAACATTAAAATCAAGCAGTGACAAGGCGGGCCTCTGGCAAATGGAAAAAACCAGAAGAAAGCAAATATGCCACAAATATTCAAAGCAACACAAGCCCCAGACACATCACTCATGTCGAGGAGTAAACCGATGTTCTCACAATCAAGTTCGGCAATCAACCACGCATCAAGAAACTATCAATGTTATTGCAAACAAAATTTTAGTCATTGACCGCGAATCAGAGGGTAGCGTCAGAATGAAGCGTCAAACAATGCTATTCCGGGTCAGAACTAGGAGCAGCCGCACCATACTGTGGCAATGACGCACTTCCCGAGAGCATTATCGACCGCCGCATGGTCGGGGTAGCAACGCGGGCTGGTTCCATCAGCCGGAAGCACTAGACACGGCAGTAGAATGATCCTCATTTGATCTGATCTTTACGGACGCCATTTAATTGCGTCCCAGAAAAGCTATTTCTGGCACCTAAAAGCTGACTCGCCCCAAAATTGGTCCTCAGCACCTATTTGGTGGATACCAGCACCAATCATGGAAAATGACCTTAATTAGCTGTTTCTGGCACCTATTCATCGGTACGCCTTACTCTTTTTTCTGAATCTGGCACCTAAATGCTGAGCGTAGCACCAATCTAGTAGAAAAATGAACTACTGGCTGGTAGAATCATGTTGTTCTGGTATAATGACCCCTGGAGTCTAGCCTAAAGGTTGCCAGTGCAGCTACACTCTAAGACAGCCCCGTAGTCATCTCAGCATTGTATATGACGTTTAAGTAAGCAAATAATATTGATTTGTTTGAAAAAAACAATGTCATTTAAATATTTAAAAGTATTTATTTGTAATGCTTAAAGGGAAACATTTTTGTGAGTAATTGTCTCGATTTTGACCATTAAAACGGGTATTGTATTTTTTGACGTCATCAAATAGCTCCAAAAAAGAAATGTACTGTTTTCATTCCGTTCAAGGCCGCTGAAGAAACGCGGGATCTTGCGTGGGACATTGTCCGTTGTTTGCCGCGCAGAGTTGTGCCGTGGTTGTGCCTTTTTCATCCGTTTCTTACTTATGTCATATGTGTGCATGAAACTTTGATTTTGTTTTTGGTTATTGTGTGGCCGGTCAGTCAAACGCCCCTGTAGAAACCGGATGCTGCGTTTGATCGAGATGGAGTCAGACGATGATTGCAGGCCAGAAAGCTAATAATATTGAAAAGAGGGCCGGTTGCGTGGCATGTCTGTTCAGAGTTGACATTTTGCTTTACTCCAGTTTATGACCTGAGAGCCTGGCTGGAAGTGACGGATCCAAACTTTTCACGTAAAAATGGCTGAGGGTGCAATAATCTCTAGTCTCTACATAGCGGGCTGGTATAGGAGCGTCTTGCTATGCTGCACCATAGCTGGCTAGTGATTCTCTTTTGGCTAGAAATGGCATTAATCATTATCTCCACTGGCGAAAATGGCACTTGACATCACCGAATGCAACGTGCATGTTATTAGGATACATAAAATCAGGAAGATTACGCGAATTATGTAGGCAAACGTGGAATAAAATAGGTGCTGGATGTTTTGGTTTTGGTGCTGAATCAGCAAACAGCAAATACGGAGTTCAACTAGACGATCTGGCAATTTTAGGCTGTGTGGAAGCAATTAGGTGCCAGATTCAGATATTAGGGTCGAATAAGCATTTTGGGGCTGATCAGCAATTAGGTGCCAGAAACAGCTTTTTAGGGACCAGAAACAAATATTCCCCGATCTTTACAATGGCACGGGGAATGCTCACTTATTTGCAAACTTCTCGGAAAGTTGACCAATCTTACCTCATTAACGTTGATCTTGGACTTGGCTGACGACTCGAGGAATGCACAGTTGTTGAACTGTCGGGCCAGGTTGAGGCCCTGGTCCTTGCCGACCACACGTTCATCCTCCAAGTCGCACTTGTTTCCCACCAGGATCATCGGTACGTCATCTGTGTCCTGTGGAGAGGCGCGGGCCCCAGTCAGGTCAGGTGGTGACTGGTGAGACTGGGGCATCGGGACGCTCGCATCGAACCTGCCATCGGCAGCCAGACCCAGACAAAGCTGACAAGCAGCACAGCTATAGTTGTATCCAGCCGACCACCAAACTACAAGGAGCCATGGAAGCAGTGTCCCAAACTTTGTCGATTTGAGTGGAAAACGTCATCCAAATGAAAATCATTTTCACTCTCATCTCCTGTTTTTAAGAACAATTTTCCACTCCCAACTTTAACGAGAAAAGCGTTTATGCGGATGATGCGGATGGTCATTTTATATCCTACAATTTACCGTACTTGTATATAAATGCATACCTTGACCTTTTTCACTATTTTTCGGCCTGATCTGGCCCGCAATTTTCCACTCTCAATCCCCTTTTTGGTGAGGAATTTTCCCCTCCGTCACCCAAGCCCCGCCCCCAAAAATGACACTGCATGGAAGCGAGTCAATCTATTGAATCTTTTTTTTTCTGGTGAACGAAACGATAAGCGACAATTTCGTTCAACAACTTGCTAGCATTGCTAAGAAGATAATAATTTACACCCTTCACGTGCTCAATGCCCAATATAAATCTATGAGATAATATCGAGCTCATTTTCCCGATGTGGACAATTTTGAACAAAAGAACGCCATGATCCGCAACCATGCATCCATACACATGTAAAAAGCATATGCAAATGCATTATGCATAAATAGATATTTAGCAGCAACTGCAACTACCAGAATGGTGTACAGAATCAAACGCTATTAAAAGCACTTTGCTACCATGCATTTTCTAGGCGAGTATTCGGGTAGGCGGATATGGCTTCAGAGTTCAGACATCAGCAATGGTCATTTCAGCATGATCGCTGTCTTACGGAAATAGCTTGCATAGCAGCGCTTGCTACGTCTTTTGAGCACATATACCGCGTGGCCCAAAAAAAAACGTTCCGAACTTTGGAGGCCTATATCTCAAATTCGAGTGCAAATAACGAGCCAAAATTTTATCAAGTTTGCGTCACTTCTTTGCGCATTGGTATGTCAAATTATAACACTGTACCATCATTTTCAAGCCAGCAATCTTATGTTGAATGAAGTAAGACGTTTTTGCTTTTTTTGCCGTTGTTGAACAGAAGTAATGATTGGCTTAGACGTACAATGTTAGAAAAAAAAAATACAAAAAATAGAACGGCTTGAATGATACCAGCACGTGTGTTGCTATTTTATATTTTTTTGTCACACTTATGTGCTACACAGGGATGCGGAGCCGTGGAAATTTCAGACGGCTCCGGCTCCGGCTCCGGCTCAGGAGAAAAAAATCGACTCCGGCTCCGGCTCCGGCTCCGGGTGAAATGTTGTGGCGGCTCCGGCTCCGGCTCCGGCTCCGAGTAAAATGGTCCGGCTCCGGCGGCTCCGGCTCCGACTCAGTACATCCCCTATGCAATCAATTAAATACGGGTGGAAGAAAAATTGGATTGGTTATACGCGTTACTCTTTGCCATGACCGGCTCACCGCGTCCCCGCGCAAACGCACCTCGGAGAGAACTGGCAGAACAAAGGACTAGGAAGCGATGGCATTGGAAACGCAGTCGCCGCGAATTGGAGTTCACTGAACCATCGTAAGCTGACACCAGTCTCGGCTGCATTGGGGGTGGGAGTGGGGGGGGGGGGAAGAGACGGTGCTGGAGTCGCAGTCCATTGCCACTGGCTTGAAAACAATGGCCGTCACCTGATGACCGGTCCTCATGTTCTGCTTCTGGGGATGCAGTAGACGTGGGGGGGAGGGGGGGAAGCAGACAAGAAGTTGATTGCGTACTGTGGGATACTGGGATATTCGGCTTTTTTCATTCACTTGATGGCCCATGACGTAAATAAAGTACCATAGTTTTACTGCCTTGTACTGTCAAACCGAACTAGGTCAATTATTTTTTTTCCTCTTCAAAAAATAAAAAGGAGCCGGAGTCGACCCCTTTTTTGGCGGCTCCGGCTCCGGCTCCGGCTCCGGGCTATATTGTTTCACGGCTCCGGCTCCGGCT